ACACACACACTCTCTCACACACACACACACACACACTCACACACACACACACACACACACACACAGCATCAGCAGTTCCTCGCTGTAGATCTCATGGGTTTCTCGTAATGATCTCAGCTGTGGCTATTTGTGGACATCAGCGTGAGTGAGAATCCTGCCAAATTCTCTCAGTGGGATCAAACTTTACTTTGTTCATCCATCCGCTGTGTGAGTGTTTTAATATCACATTATTCTGCATTAAATCTAAAGAGTGAGATTCTTATCACTGTCAAATCATCTCGGTTCATCCACATTATATTTGTTAGGCTTTTGTCAAGAGAGTAGATATTCAGTTTTTGTCTTTATATTTATGCATTTAGCAGATGCTTTTATCTAAAGTGATTTACAAATAAGGAATACAACAACCGCTTCATCTTGCATCAATAAACACAAGAAGTGCTTGTAATACAAAGTTTCAAACATCATCTAGAATAGAACAAACTAGAACAAGGAAGGATTCAGGAATCGGCAAAGTGTTCGCAGAAGAGAAGAGTTTTCAGCTTCTAAACGTGTATAGATATCATTTCAGAAAGACTGGAAAGCTCTGTTCATTTCCTAAATCATCAGACTTATGTTTCCTCTTGGCGAACGATAAAACAACAGATGCACATTGAATATCTTGAGGGGACTGTAAGAAAACAGCTAGCAACTGCATCACGTGCTGAAACTGCTCAGAACAGCTTAGCATTGTGCTGTATTTAGAAAAAGGCTGGATACTCCTTACACAACATGGTGTGCATGCAGAACACACGTGCTGGCTGAGTGTAAGTCATGATATTCTCTGTGCTCGTATCACTGTATTAAACCCATCCTCTCTCCTGCTCCGTCAGACGCTCTGATCAGAAGATGCTTTCATTCTCCTGCTGCACGGCTCATGTTTTCATCCGGGTGTATTTTATGTAATTGTAATGCTCACAGCGGCTTGGCTTTGTGTGTGTGTTCTTCAGCGCAGGGTTAAGTAGGTTAGAGCTGTGGTTTAGCGGTGAGACAGACCTGTCAGGACGATGATTTCTGAATAACACAGCCCTGTTTACTGCTCAAACCAGTGAAGCTACACCGGCAGGATTTGAGTCGCAGCAGTGCATTAAACTTTCCGAATGATGTGAACTGAAAGCGCAGTGGTTTCTCTGTTAGGGCCCCTGTGATCGTGGCTCTAGACTGACAGTCATTCTCAAGACGAGCGTAGCGTGCTTTCAGAGTGCATTTTAGACGCTTGGCTTTGAATCGACTCAATCTCTCGAGTCACTCAAGGCTGCTGTATGGAGGCGGAGCCACGTGACTCTGCTGACGTCTGATTGGCCGCCTCAAAACTTCATTCGCATTTCAGTGATTGAGAAAGAAGTATTTCTTTTGATGTGCACATTGTTAATATATTAATGTTGAATATTAGGAGAATCTTAACGCTGGTAGCAAGATTCAGAAGAATAAGGTTAAAGGCAGTCGCACACTCCATGATAAGCAACGCTGCTCAAAATCCTGTAGTTTTCCATTAAATTACATTATGCACTGCAAGAAACGGATCTTCTTACTTAGTATTTCTGTCTTGTTTTCTACAAATATCTGAACATTCTTGAATCAAGATGCATTTACTTGACAGGTGAAATGACTTAGGATTTTAAGTCTTGTTTTCTAAAAAAAATGATCAAAATTTAGTTAGTTTTTGCTTAAAACGAGCAAAAATATCTGCCAATGGGGCAAGAAAAGTAATCTTGTTTAGCTTTGAATTAAGACCATAGAAGAACATGATGAAGCTGAGGAACAGAGCAGATGTCCTGTCCTTCTGTTCCTCATTTGCTCTTTAATATTGATCTTTGGCCTCGAAATGTACAGACTTCATTCACAAGAGTGACATCAATCCATGCGGTCAATAACTCGTCACTCGGTGATAAAGACCTCAGGCTTTTGGGTTTTCACGAAACATAACGATTCGAAGCAGCTTTAGATGTCAGAGGAGACTGTGTCAAAGTAATGTTCATATAATAACGATGCTATCGTTCCACGTGCTATTAATGCACACTGCAAACAATGATTTTCTTACTTAGTATTTTTGACTTGTTTCTAGCACAAATATCTAAAGATTCTTGAATCAAGATGCTTGAGATGCAAAATAAAGGCAAGAAGTCTTGAATCAGAATGAAGTGAGTTTATGCTTAAAACAAGAACAAATATCAGCGGGGTCAGAAAAATCAGCTTAAAGGGGTCATATGATGCGATTTCAAGTTTTCCTTTCTCTTTGGAGTGTTACAAGCTGATTGTGCTTAGATAAGATCCCTGAAGTTGCAAAGACTAAAGTCTCAAAACCAAAGAGATATTCTTTATCAAAGTTAAGACTCTGCCACGCCCCGCTTGAATGTTTCACCAATCATTATTGCATAATCATGTATATCTAACACGGATAGGTCTCTAAATTCTCTCAACAGTATGAAACTGTCCCGATATTTTAATAACAATTCAAACATAATCAAATAAAGCATATTTCGTTATCTGTTGGAACTTGGACGGGTGTTTAGAGCGGCATCCTTTTTCATCACCATCATCACTTACATTCAGCTTCTGGCTCATTCTGGCCGCCTGAGCTCTCGATATGTTGATCTCAAAACGTTTTCATTTTCATCATCTTCAAAATCAGCATTTTGTTCGCTGAGAGCTTTGTCATCAGATCCAACAGTAAATGACTCTAGTGTTTAATTGTGAATGTGCTCTGCAGCGAATCACAGAGCCATGCCGAGAGTCTCTGATGAAGTGTGTTATGCATCACGTCGTCAGCTGGAGAAATAAACGTGATTCTGTCTCTGTGTGATGAGCAGTGAATGAGAGATCTGTGCAGCCGTCTGCTGAATATACACAGACGGCCTTTGATTCTCGCTGATGTGTGTCATACTCTCGTTTGTAATAACACAGATTATGAAGGATGATCTGGGCTTTGCGAGGCCTGTTTCCGGTGCAGGAGGGTTTGCTTCATATGCCGTTAATCCACCTGCGTCGTTAGTCTGGGCTTCATTGATATTTTGATCATATTTCTTTTCCAAGCACATTTTACCAATACTAAACCACATCAATATTAATAACTACAATTAATTTTGTATTTAATCATTTATAAGTGATAAATAATTGTCCATGAAGGCCAGAAATGAAAAACTCCTTATATTCAGGTGCGCATAATTAGTAAGCAGGTTTTCTTTATAGATAAAATGAGCCAAAAAGAGATTGACCTCAGACTGAAAAGTCAAAACATTTGAGATGCCCATGAGAAGGATGCAATACTGGATTGTTAAGGCATAACCACTGGACAGCAATGCTCACTGGGTCAGCCAGGTCAGAGAAAACAGGTGGAGAAGAAAAGACAAACATTAACTGCAAAAGAATTAAGAATTAATGTGAAGGATTAGGTGTGAAACCATCAGGAACACTTAGTCTCCAGCGCCACAGTTTTGCAGAACTGCATCCGTCCTGGAGTCTCCAGAAGAACAAGCTGTCAGGTGCTCAGAGACTGTGCTGGGGTAAACAATCCTAAAACATGACCCGCACTTAATAAGAATGACATGCTGAAGTGTTGTGAAATACATGAAGACTGGTTTCTTCACAGGCTTTATAAACAGAGAAGTTGAAGGACCAGCATCACATCTTGTACTGTCACTGTTTGAAGAATTGATCTCCAGAATCTGGCAGTGAGTTTTAGTCCATCTCTGTAAGACAGACTTCTTTTCAGGAGAGGAGATGGACTAAACATTAAACTTACTGCCAGATTCTTGAAGATAATTTTTCAACGTGCATAATAATTATGCATGCACTGTGTGTGTATACATATACTGTATATATTTGAAGAGTTTATTTGCAAAAATAAATAATGCATAATAATGCATGTTTTTTATTGTTTTATTGTGTTAGTTAGCTGTGTTTTTTTGTTATTTTTTAACCTAATAAAAAAAACAACAACTGCAGTTTGATTGAGATTAATTTGAATGCACAATGAAAAAACTTGATTTTTGAAAGTTATATGTTTTTGCAAATTAACTCTTCATATATATATATATATATATTGTGATTAATCATTTGACAGCACTAATATATACAGTATATATATATATGTAAAAAACAAAATACTCAAAATCTGCACCATATATTAGCACAACAGTCAGTAGGTTTTTAACTGACACTCTTTTAGTGTTTTTATCGTCTGAAAATAGCTAAATATCAGTTGATCGTTATTATTAGTAGCTGACGAGATGTAGCTCTTCACACCTCATTAATGCAGATTGTGTGTCTGGTGTTTATCCAATCAGAATCCAGCGTTTGTTTTGTCATGTGTATCAGTTATGGCCATAATCAGCAGAATTTATATGGTGCACAGAAACCGCAATACTGACGTTCAGAAGGATTTCACCTGCTTCTTGTCACCAAATGTAACTGCAGCACCTGCCTATGTTGCTCTCGCTCCGTCTTGTGTGTTTTTCCATGTGTGTTCCGGAGAGCTTCACGTGTGCCGCATGACGCGCGCCATCTGTCCGCTCTGAACACGCCAAACACGCCAAGAGTCCCAGAGAACACGCCTTTCACCAGTGCTGCGCTGATTCTCAGATCGATGGTCTGTATGAAGGACGGTTGGGTTTTCTGCTCGTGTGAGAGTTAGCGAGCGCTGGATAAAGCCGACGGGAAGATCTCACAAAGCTGTGCGAGTTAAATTCATCTCTGGACGGCTTCCAGTCGTAGCCTGCAGGGGTTTGAGCTCTGCGTCAGAACAGCCGTGTTTTACCGTTTGTTCTGCGGGAGCAAAGACTTTCATGTTAAACAGAATTTCCACCTCCAACACACTGGAGTGCAGACGCTGTCGAGCTCACAGCTCACACTCGAGCGGCGTGACGCGTCTGAAGAACCGCTTCTACTGAGGGTCCAGACTCACTGCATCTGACAGAGTTTGCTGGGAAAGTCTAATTAAATCTCTGAAATGTATTCAGAGATGCTCATGTATAGCTACATAATCCATTGCTGATTTATGTGCACTATATATGGAGTTTATTTGCAAAAACAGATAGGCCTAACTCCTTTTTATTTTATTTTATCATGCTTTTATTGTGTTTTATTGTGTTAGTTAGCTGTATTTTTTAGTTATTTTTCAACCTAATCAAAATAACCCAACTGTAGTTTGAGATTAATTGCAATGCACAATGAAAAAACATGATTTCTGTAAATTGTTAAAAATGGAGATATCTGTTTTTGCAAATGAACTCTTCATATATACTCAATGCACAGAAAAAAATATACTACATTTTTTAAGGTATGTGGTTGCAAACAATTAATTTTAGCTACATTTAAAAAAAAAATGTCGAAAGTTAGTCAACTAAATTTGTTAATTTAAATGTAGCTAAAATACGTTTTTATAAATAAACCACTTACCTTAAATTTGAGTAAATTCAATGAATCATTTTTTCAGTGTGCTATTGGAAGGACTGAATTCTGTCTATAAAGTCTATAAGTCTATAAACATTTTACACTTTTTCTGGACTTTTTGTTCAATTATTTAGATGCTTTTTTTTTTTTAGTTAGTCATTTTTTCCATAAGCTACCTTTTCATTTAGGGCCCTATGAAATCCATTTTATTTTTTGCTAAATTCTGTGTTTTCGATTTTTTTTTTTCTGGATTCAGTGTTTTATGATTTGCTACAAATTAAGCATCAAAAAAAGGTGTCTAATGAAATCAATTAATTACACTTTTTAATCAATTTCATCAACCTTCTGAAATCTAGTCATATTTAACAGTTAATTTACAACAGAGCATTGCATTTTTATTTTTAGCCAAATAAGATGCTGCACAACAGAACTGTATATACATTAGAAAATATATTGGGTCCGTGTAATTGCTTAATAATGTTATTATTATCATTATTATTACATTGATAAGTAGGCTACATTTTTGTATACAGTAGTAATACATTTCTGTCATAATTGTTTAAAGTTAAACCTAACTTTTATGTTGGCGGTTTGTGCTGAAGAGTCTCGGTGTGTGTTCGAAGGTGGTTTATCTCGAAGTAGATGCTGTAAAGCTGCTGAAGCGACTCTCAGAGCAGCTCTGGAGATGAAGTTCATGTGCTCATATATTGAGACGCAGACACTTAAAACGTGTGTTTGATGAAGTGTGTTTGAACCAAATTGTGAATCCAGTCAAATGCAAATTTGGTTTCTGTTGATTTTGACATTTACGTGTGCATTTACAATTAAAGACTACATTGGAACCTGAACTCATATTTCCACTCTATATGCTCTTTACATGTTTTAATACTGCTTTGGCTTGGATTCTCAGTGAATGTGTGCGCTGCTATAGTCTTTGAATCCGGCGTAAGCAGCTCGCGACAGACTTCGGGGCCGTGGCTGCAGCTTGTTTGTAGAGGAACTGGAGTGTTTCAGCTGTTAAGCATTAGTGTCATTTTCACACACATCTGCACTGGCGCAAGCTTCATTTAACATCGATCAGCCACGCAATCTGCTGCCGTTACCCTCCGTAAGCGGCTTGCGGCCTGCGCTAACTGAACGCCCGTCATTTGTCTGTCTGTTGACCCGCGGCCTGTCGCTCCGCAGATGTCCTGCTCCTGACCCGCGACAGCTGGAGGCTCGTTCCCGCGCTGTAAGACGGCCAATCAGCACAGACTAACCCTAACCCACTCAACAACTCCTGTCAGCTCAGCCAACTTCCCATTGAAACAGTGTCGAGTCATCAAACCATCACGCGTTCAGAGCTGGCTAGTCTAATGGTTTATACGAACGGGTGATTATCAAACCAGCACTCAGCAGAAGAAACACGTCGAACTAAGCGTTGCCTGGGTTGCATACGTATGTGTGGGGCGGAGCTATCAAAATAGGGGCGAGACCCTTTTGGGGTAGGGGCGTGTTTGTTTTGGTGATTTGACATGTCAACATTGGCTACCAGAAATCACTTACCCCACCTTTAACTTATGTTACACAGATCTCTTTACCTGGTTATCTGGTTAAGCCTCAGCGCTGACCTGCAGCAATGCTTCTGGACATTTTACTTTTTTATATACTCTTTGGTTTGATTGTTTTTTGTTGTTGTTGTTCTCATTATTCTCAATAGTGATTCCCATTACCGCAATCCAATGATTGTCGTTATTAATCAGCATCATACTTAAACATATATAATTTCAACATCATTTATCACATCATTTTTAAAAACTAAAGTAATAAGAATTTGATTGTCAAGTGTTTAATTGTCAAGAAATCAATGTCATTATAAAGATATTTCCTAAAAACAGGCTTAATTTTCTTTATGCAAATTTCAAAACAATTTCTATTTTTTCTTTAGATTTTTTGCATGTAGTTGCATTTTAAATTGTAATGCTTCAGGTAATGAATGGCATCAGTGAGCATTCGTTTGACCTCAGGGTCACATGACATCAATCACTCTGCTGGCTGGTTTGGATGGTTGCCATGGAAACCATATTCCCAGCTGCCGCTGGTTATCCGTGGATCCGCAAACACGGCCAGCAGTGATGAGTGAGAGAGACAGAGGGACAGAGAGTGTGTGAGAGAGAGAGAGAGATATGGGCAGAGGTGGTTGACTAGGCAACAGTAAGACAAGATACGCCTCGATGCACCAAAGATAAATAACAGCTTCAGATACAGAGAGAGAGGCTGCAGTCAGACGGCTCAGATGCTGCTGTTAGTCTCTGATCGACAGACAGACAGCGCTGCATGACATTAATTCATGTTTCTGGTTTTACTCTAATTGCTTCATCACTGCAGGTTATTCTGGAAAAATATACAATGTTTGTCTCATAATATTTCTTCTAAATGTAATCACTCAAATCAGCCTCTGCTTAGCTTTCCTTTGGCAGCACACGCATGGGATAATGTTAACTAATATGTTAAACAGCTGTTTAGACACTGTTTTAACGAATTCAACGAGTCTCTAGCTTTTTGTCTCATTGAATATCCTGTTGAACAGTAATAATATACAGTCACATGTTCAAGTCAAGCCATATTTATTTTTATTGTGCTTTATATAATACAGATTGTGTCAAATTAGCTTCACGGTAATAAACAGGAAAATAACAGAATGAATTATGGAAATTATGGAGAGAGTTCAGATTCTGAAAGACTAAAGTCAGTTCAGATCAATAACAGCGTAAAGTTCATCAGTTTTGAAACGAGTCCAATCAGATAGTGTTTGTGAAAATCAGATCGTGCTTGTGAAAAATCAGATAGTGTTCGTGAAAAATCAGATCGTGCTTGTGAAAAATCAGATAGTGTTCGTGAAAAATCAGATCGCGTTTGTGAAAAATCAGATCGTGTTTGTGAAAATCAGGTCGTGTTTGTGAATATCAGATCGCGTTTGTGAAAATCAGATAGTGTTTGTGAAAATCAGATCGCGTTTGTGAAAATCAGATCGCGTTTGTGAAAATCAGATAGTGTTTGTGAAAATCAGATCGTGTTTGTGAAAATCAGATCGCGTTTGTGAAAATCAGAT